CAGTCTGGAAATGGGATCACATTACAATGGACTTTATCATGAAGTTACCCCGAACTCCGAAAGGTTATGACGTAATCTAGGTAATAGTGGATCGATTATCAAAATCCGCACATTTCCTACCAATGAAAGAAACATATTCTTKGGAAAAATTGGCTCAAATCTATATCAAGAAAATTGTGACTAGACATGGTGTTCGACTATCCATTATATCTGACCGAGACAGTCGTTGCACTTCAAAATTATGGGAAAGCCTACAAAAAGCCTTGGGATCACAGATCAGATTAAGTACAACTTACCACCCACAAACGGACGGGCAAAGTGAAAGAACCATCCAGACTCTCGAAGACATGTTGAGAACTTGTGTCATCAACTTCGGGGGATCATGGAAGGAACATTTGTCGTTGATAGAGTTTGCCTACAATAATAGTTATGATTCCAGCATCCAAGCAGCACCTTATGAAGTCTTGTATGGAAGAAAATGTCGAAYGCCGTTATGTTGGAATGAGGTAGGTGAAAAGCAGTTGACAGGTCCCGAAGTTGTACAGACAACTTCTAAAAAAATTGAGCAAATTCGTGCAAGGATTAAGACTGCCCAAGATCGACAGAAAAGTTATGYCAATAAACGAAGAAAGCCGATTGAATTCAATGTAGGAGACTTTGTGATGTTAAAAGTATCTCCATGGAAGGGTGTTATGAGATTCGGGAAGAAAGGAAAACTTAGTCCACGGTACATTGGACCATTCAGAATCTGCAAACGGGTTGGGCCGGTAGCCTATCAGTTGGAACTACCAGAGGAACTCAGCCTAATTCATAGTACCTTTCATGTGTCGAATTTGCGCAAGTGTTTGGCAGAACCGAGCTTAGTGATACCACTTCCCGAGATCAAACTCGATAAAAAGTTGAATTTCATCGAGACCCCAGAGGCAGTAACGGACAAAAAGACCAGGGTACTATGAAATAAAGAGATCAGTCTAGTCAAGGTACAATGGCGTTTTCATAAGGGTACAGAAGCAACATGGGAATTGGAATCAGATATGAGAACCCGTTATCCATGGCTATTTGAATGAATTCCGGGACGTAATTCTTTTTAAGGGGGGAAGAATGTTATAACCCGGTTTTAGACAATCTGGGTTAAGGTAAAATTATACGTGATTAATATTTGAATATCTAAATGGTATGCATGATAAAATAATATACATGGATGATATATGT